GTGAACATATGTTTCACCCTCAAAATTTTGCTCATGCCCTTTATAACCCCTGCCCCTCAAACTCTGTCCTACTCCCCCATCTCAGAGCCACCACCAATCTGCTTTCTGTCACTATAGATGTGTGCCTGAAATAACATATGTATGTAAAACATCAAGCATAGTACCAGGCATATAATAGGCACCAAAGTTTATTTTATCTTTCTAAAAAGAAAACAAAAAAACTAAACCAAACAAAAAATTGAAACACAAAACCAAAAATAAAAAAGGCTTAAACTCTGATACTTTCCAGAATTTCAAAATTAGCCCTGTGTAGTGGCTTGCAAGTTATTGATCTATCTAAGCCTCAGTTTTATCCCATAAAATGGGGATGGTAATATCCTCATCACAAGATAATGGAAGCACATCATAGACAGTTAAATTTTATCTACTGCTTACTTTACTAATACTAGTAATACATAGTAATACCACCAACTCTACTACTTATATGATAGAAGTATTATTACATTAAAAATCAAAACACAGGAATAAATTTTATATCAAAACTGCTATGCACAGTGACTTATCATAATGCAATTTCAATTTTTATTTAAGCTAAAGATAATCACTCCTTTGAAATTCAGTTGTGAAAAGAATTGAAGTTTACTTGTATGATATATGTTTATATTTTGAACATTGGCAGGCATTAACTTTTAAATATAAAAAGCAAACTTCTTTCTTTTTTTCCCTTTTTTTTTTTGGTCCCCCTGTCTACTGTCTACAACTCCTTGAACCTTCCTCCTGCTCTCTTACCCTCTGACAATCCTAACTCTGGCTTCCCAGACACTTCTGTAGCTGCTTCTGCCTTGGTTCTCAGTCTTGCCTTGTCGTAATCTCAATCCATGTTGTAGTGACTGTGACAGATGTGACATTTCATGTGGTGAAGTACACTTTTATTTCTAAAAAGTACTTTGCTCAGTGTCTTGGATTTTCAAAAACATTTCTGAGTTGCAATTTACTTCAATTTCATTTCACATTATGCAATGTTACTGTTTTAACCCTAAGGTTTAATTACTTTAATACACTAAAGAAAGAGGGTAAGAGGATGGTAGTAGTGTCCTCAAAGCTGATCACGTGCTGCATCATTGTATAAATTCTGTTCCTACATGCCACGTATCTAGACTTTACATTTCTGCTCTATCAAGTTTCATTTTTCAAATCTGGAACACCTCTATTTAAAAAAAAACCCAAAAACTGAAACACCGCAATTTATACCACTCATAACCTGTCTTCTCACATGTAAAACAGATATAATTTCTATACTACCTAATTCAAGACATTTTGAGGATCAAATGAAATGCAAGGACAATCTTTGCACTATATATAAAGCACACACGCAAAAAGACAAAAGAAAGCTTTCACAAATTAATGCAAAAGGAAAATGTGGACACTTAGCATTGTATTGGAAATTGTATGAAATGTCCACTTTTAATAGATGCTTTTTAAGATGCTGTTTATTCAAGGGAAATCAGTTTATAATACCATGAAATTTATGTGATAAGGAGAATTTTGCTTTTGTATGATTCTGTATGTTTTTATGAAGATGTCATAATTTATATCCGATTCCTAAAGGGAGCATCGACAATGCCAAAGTTGCATTGGTGATGGGTTGATAAGCTTTACGATCTACAATCAGATGACCACAAAACTCAAAATTAGAACGCCAGCTCTAATCTACCTTCCTGTGTTCCCACAATCTAATCTCTGCTGAGGGCACTCATAATAAAACACCAAATAGCTCGAGTATATATAGAAAAAACACAAGGAAATTCCTTATATTTTCTAAAAAGTTTCATTACATTTCTCTCATTTCTTTTAGAAGACTTGTGTTTATCATACCCGAAATTTAATAACTAATAGTGTATGAAATGTTTATTTATTGAGTTATAAAAACATAAAATTTAAGAAGTTGCATTAATTACAAAACAAATTTTCATGAAAAATGCCCCAGTGCCTTTGAAAGCAATATACTTAAAGTTTAGGGGCCTGGGATTGAGAGCTAGACCCCAGGGTTGTAAATTCAGCTCTACCAATTTCTGCTTTGTAATGTCAGGTGAGTTAACCTCTCAGTTTCCTCATCTCTAAAATAGAGATAATATAGTTTACTTGTCTTATAAATTTTTAGTAATAAATATATATTATATATATTATATATATAGTATTTAAAATTGTGCCTACTACAGAGTAAGCACAATAGATGTATTAGCTATTATGATATTACAGATATCATAATATCTGTAATCTATCTAACATTGTAATCTATTACAGATTATAATAGATGTATTAGCTATTAAGATAACATCATAATATTAGCTAATATGATATTAGCTATTATGATAGTTCAAAGATGAAAATTAAGAAGCAATTGTCCTTATACCACTAAATTTAGAAATGCTAGGAACTACTGACAATACTTATTTTCATAAAGAGCATAAAATGGAGAAAGCATTTTTTTTAATACTTCAATTAATGGCTGAGAGAGACACCATACTCTAGGCAATGCTTGCTCAAAAAATGGGTAATACTTCAATTTTAATGAGGTCAGTTATCACAGATTATAGTCATATTTTTTAAAACGTTATTACTTTACTAAGCCAAGACTTCTTAGGACAAAATTAAAAACGCCATATCCTGTTTATGTGTCTTGTCCCAGAAAGAGAACTTAGTGTCCTCTCTTAACACAACGAAGATACTCATTTCCAAAACAGTAGAACGTGATTAATTATCTTTTGATTTCATTTTCTTTTGATGTGGTCAGGGCAAATTATAATTTATATGTAATGTTTTGATGAAGAAATTCAATATCACACCCACCACACTGAAGCATATTTTTCATTCATATGCTGTTAAAGAAGCAATTGTGTCCTGCCTTAAACAAAAAGAATGTCAATAAGTAAATGTTTTTCAGGATATGATTTATGACAAGTTCTAGTGTTTTTCTTTCCCAAATAATTCCTTTCAAGGACCTTCTTTTTTTTTTAGAATTATGTAATGCCTCTCATTTTATGCCAGAAAAAGAGCCAGGATATGAATTTGACATCACACGCATGGTGAGAGCCTGGACAAGTTCTCAGAATGCTATTTGCTTCCGTACAAAAGGTCACAGAGTTCATTCTTCAAGCCAACATTTGGAACTCGCTGGCCAGAGGGCCTTGGATGTCTGGAAAATTAATGTACCTACACTCAAAACGTACTTGTGCACATATTCCTAATAAACCCTTCCACAAGACAGAGAACATCATGTCCAACTGATTTTACAATTGCCTTTTTAAGACAGAACTTTGCAAATCCACATCATGCTTACAGGCTCACTTTACCCCACTGAGCCAGGAGAAAATTGCTTTTGAAGTGTGAACTCTATGAATTATTTTTCTGTATTATGGACTCTGACTTGAATGTATTATCAAATGATCCTCCTGGGACTCTTAAACATTTAGCAGCCTTACTTTGTCTGTTCATTTATGTCTCTCAAACTATGTTCATTGGATCTCACCAAGAGTATTCACTGTAGAATACACACCAGTGTAACTTCAAGTGCATGGTCCATATAATGCCATTTTGGAGAATGTGGTTACATTTACTAGAGCTGAGGATTATTATTTGTTAATTTAGTCATCTTTGTGCCCATCCTACATAATTTTGGGGAGGGAAAGATGAATAAGTCTGAGAGTGGTAAAATGTATTATTAATCTTTAATAACTGGTATTTATTGAGTGTTTACTGCTTGTCAAGCACTTACCTAAGCACTTTACATGTATTAACTAAGGTATTGCTCTCCAGAGCAGATGCTGTTATTTCTTCATTTTAGAGATGTGAAAACCAAAACATAGGTGAAGTAATCTATCTACAGTCACAAAATTTAAGTAAACAAATCCACTCAGGGTGGTCATTAATAACTGAATTTCACTGGGAACACTTGCAGTGAAAGGGGCTGGCCAGGGTTCTCAGAAAAGTACTTGGTTTGAATAAACTTGGATTTGTTTAGATCTGGGCCTATTTTTCTCAGGTCCAAGAACTACAAAGACTTGGTAATCCCTGAAGATATCTTGGTAGTAAACTTTTCCAATAAAAAAAGTATTCAAGAGTGATGAATGGTTTGGAATACCAACATTCAAATACTTTCTGGAAGGGGGAAAGTGCTGATGTACACCATCCAAGTCACTTTGTGTGAAGCCAAGTCAGAAGTTTGGTTGGTGAGCATGGAACGATGTCACACGTATTCTAGAGGGCTGTTACTTGACCCTGATAAGATCTGGTGACATGCCCTAGTCTTCCAGTGGGAAACCCCACTCTACTACCTACAATTGTCAAGTCCTCCAGATTCAGTGTTGATTCTTCTGCTGAATGCTGTTGGATGTTCACTGACAACTTCTTTCATGCAGTCACAAAGACGACTGACAGTTGTCACACAGGATTGCTTCTCTGCCCCCACCTTACCACATTTAGAACTCCAATTCCCGAGATATACTTGCCTCCTCAAATATGCTGTCCATGTGATTTTGGGGAAGTGTGTCCTTTGGCATTTTTTAGTAATTTTATAGGTCTCACTCTCAAATTTGTTTTTTGAAGGTCTCTTCTGGGAATAAAGACTTCTTTTAGACATCTACAGCTTTGTCTAAAGGGGGGGAGAAGATAGATAGATGATGATAGATAGATGATAGATATAGATAGATAGATAGATAGATAGATAGATAGATAGATAGATAGATAGATAGGTAGATAGATGATAGATAGATAGATAAATAAATAAAAAATAAATGTGATTGGATGTTTAAATATACAGCTCTTCTCCCTTCCCCCCAGAACAGATTTACATATAAAGACACAGCTGTTTCAGGGTAAATAACATACCCAAGTTAGAGCAAATTTTATTTGAATAGACGTTAGTCAGTACCAACAGCAACATTGCTTTCCAATTGTATGCTGAACAATATAACATTAATAATTGCTTTGAATTCCTTCAGATTGACATTAATACTTTCCTGTCCAATGGATCTCAAGAATTTTCCGATGGATGTGCAAACATGCATAATGCAACTGGAGAGCTGTAAGTATGAACAACTTACTTTTTCTGAATACTTAAAAAAAATATGGCAGATATAAATGGTTTTTAATGTACTCTGTAGATAATTTATTTTGTAATTGTTTTTCCCAGATATTTACTAAATAAGCATGGTATCTTTCACCAGGTATTGAGAGTCATGATGTCTATCAACATGTGCACTGTATACTATGATAGAGAAGTAAATTGAGGACCTAGGAATAATAGTTTTTAAGCCTGAAAACAGCTTTATGTCTCTAGACAAATTACCAAAGGTAAAAGGATAGCAATCGTTAAAAGCAAACTATCATTTTTTACTGAGTACCTGCTATAGACCAAATATTTTGCATATATTATTTCCCCCAGTACAATGAAGATATTGTTATTGCCATGTTTCCAGATGTGAAATGGACATTTTGAGCAATTGAATGTTGTGCTCCAATGCCTGGAGGTTGTCACAGCAAACCATCTGGCTCCAGAATCGACGCTATTCTGAAACATTTTGCATCTCTTCTGCTAATATTTATTCAGAGTATACTCTGCTGGGTGTGTTATATATGTTATCTTAGAGAAAAAGAAATTCCTCACACTTTATCACAGATTCATCTAATCTGACAGACATTTCTTTAAATTTCTTCTTTCTAAGTGGATCCAAACGCATCACTGATTAATGTCAGCACATAAAATCTTTAGGTTCCTCTGTTTCTCTGAACTTATCTGTATATCCTCTAAATTAATTGGTTTGCATGTTTAACTTTAATGCCATATAAAAAGTAAGTATTATTTTCAATATTTTTCCTTATGGTACTATGTTATGTCTGAGGGAAAATAAAGTTTTGTTTTGATATATTTGTTGAGGAAAATTTAAGGGTGGATCTCCAGGCTTGCAGGCCTGAGGCAAGGTTTGTAGTGTGGTGGAGCTGTCACTAGATGGCATGCCGACTTCATGGGGGAATGTGGCCATCCCTGTACTTTGGGTTCTCTTAAAGTAAGGAAGTGGAAATATCTATTTCTCTGATAATAATGCCTTTCTTGTTAAATTTAAATGCATTACTTTATAAGTAGCCCTTAAATATTAAGCATATCCATGGATAAATTGCTAAATTCAATGAAAGGAAAGTAAAATAATCTAGTTTTAGTTGGGGAATCTATTTAGCAATAAAAATGGGGAGGGATAACAAAAGATTCCCAGCAATGTAGATTTTTAACCCATATTATGAAGGCATTTTGAGGACAGACTGATTCTGTATCTTGGTTGCAAAATTAGGTGCATGGGAAGATATTGAGATAAAAATTATATGCAAAATAGTCTAAGGCAAACTAGTGCCTTAATTACTAAACCAAGGATGTTGGATATTATCCAACAGGCAGTGAGGAGTGATTCAAGATTTAGGAGCAAGAATATGATTTGGTCAATATTATGTTCTTAAAGATTCTTTTCGGCAAATGAACCAAGGTTATCTGAGAAGGCTTCATAAGGCAGTTCTATTTTTAATTTTTTGAGGAAACTCCATACTTTTTTCCTTAGTGGCTGCACCAATCTGCATTCCCACCAGCAGTGCACAAGGGTTCCCTTTTCTCCACACCCTCACCAGCACTTGCTGTTTGTTGAATTATTGATAATAACCATTTGGACAGGTGTGAAGTGATATCTCACTGTAGTTTTAATTTGCATTTCTCTGATTGTTAGTGATGTTGAGCAGCAATTCTACTTCTGGGTATATAGCTGAATAAGCCCAAAACACTAATTCAAAAGAATGTATGCATGTCTATGTTCACTGCAGAGTTATTTACAATAGCTAAGATATGGAAGCAATGCAAGTGCCCATCAGCAGATGAGTGGGTAAAAAAGTGGGGGTTCATACAATGGAATACTACTAGGCCATAAAAAAGAATGAAATCTTACCATTTGCAACAGTGCGGAAGGACCTAGAGGGTATTCTGCAAAGTGAAATACATCAGTCAGAGAAAGAAAATATTATATGATTTCACTTATATGTGGAATCTAAAGACCCAAATAAACAAACAAACAAAACAGAAACAGACTCATAGAAAAAGAGACCAGACTGACAGTTGCCAGAGGGGAAAGGGATTGGGATGGTGGGTGAAAAAGGTGAAGAGATTAAGAAGTACAAATTGATAGTTACAAAATAACCATGGGAATGTAAAGTACAGCATAGGAAATATAGTCAGTAATATTATAATAGCTCTGTATGGTGCCAGGTGGGTACTAGAAATATCGGGGGGAATATATTGCAAAGTATATGATTTTCTAACCATTATGCTATACACCTGAAACCACTACAAAATAATACTGAATGTAAACTGTAATAAAAAAATTTAAAAAAATAAAAAGGCTTCATAATATGCCAACCAAAAATAATAGAAATAGGGACAAATCAGAATAATGTAGAAGGTAGAAACATTTGAGGTTGATACTGTAGGGGAGGCAAGATTTTATCTTTACCTTCTTAAACATTTTTGGCTGGGCCTGAAAATGAAACAGACAAGACAAATTAACAGGAGGAAAAGATACAATTTTATGTAATATAAGTTTTTATGTAACATGGGATCCCTCATAAAGAAATGAAGACACAAAGAAGTGGCTTCATACTAGGCTGAACAAAGAGAGGCAGCTGTGGAAAAGTAACTAAACTGTGTGTGGAGGCTAAGGGAAGATAAGAGTTATTTTAGCAAGGTCTGTATGTACACAGTCCTCTCGACTTCGATTCCCCATTGAAGAGTGTTTCTTTTGTCTTGGTCCAAGGAGCACATCTTTCACATGGGAGTTTTTATCTCCTATTTTCAGGAAGAAGGGGGGGGATTAGAATGCCCTTCTTGCATCTGCTGCTTTTTAAGTGCCTTTATCTCAAAATAGTCCTTAGGCTAGGGTGGCATATTTTGGGGCGGCATATTCCGCCTCCCTTCATTCACTTCCATACAAAGTGGACGTAAAGGCGCTGGAAATACTGCTTAGGGTGAGAAGTGAATGCTGAAGAGAATGTTGATGAATGAAATTTAGGTATAAAGTCAGAGGAAGGAGTTAGAACTGGGGATATACTATTTGAAGCCATATAGAAAGTGGTTCAAATAATAAGATAAGAGTCCTGGAGGATAGAATGTAGAGAGGAAAACAGACACAGAAAAAAGATTTGTAAGAAATGTCTACATTTAGAAGGCGTTGGAAGGAATTTCAGCTACAGGGTGTCATAGACGGCAAATTAAAATCAGTAGCATTCAATCTCAAAAGAGAAGAGAACGTGGAGGAGATCTGTTTAGCCATATCAAATGCTGTGAAATGTTTTTTAAAAAGGGATTGAAAAAGAGTACAGCATAGGGCATGCCGGTAATAATATTGTAACGACAATATATGGGGCCAGGTGGGTACTAGACGTACTGGAAGGTCACTTCATCAGTAATATAAATGTCTAACTACTAGGCTGTCCACCTGAGACTGATATAATATTGCATGTCAAGTGTAATTAAAATAAAATTAAAATTAAAAAGCCATTGTTATTGATGACAAAGACAAATGTGATTTAAATGATGAGGTCAAATCTGGATTTCAAAAAGTTTTTTAAAAAGTGCATGACGAGAAAGCGAGAGCAGTGAGTAAAATCTGTTATTTCACGAACGTCAGTTATTAAAGAAAAATGAGAAAGAAAACAGCACCTGAGAGATAGCTGGGTCACTGGCCTTTTTTTGAGTAAGGAAAGGGCTAATTTGCAGGACGCAGTGTTGACATCACAAGACCTTTCATTGTTTCTGCCTTCCCCAGAGCTTTTCCAAAGCAATCAAAAACTCAACTAGGGAAAACAGAGCCTCTTGCCCTTGTCTCTTAATTCCTTTATCAGGAATGAGTAGATTGCCTCAAGTGTCCCTTTCATATCTCAGTCATTAAACACTTCCTGCTCTTATTAGAAATTAATTTAGCTCGCAATAGAGGTAGTGTTTATTAAACTCCTTTAGTGGATGTTAAAATTCTGTCAAAGTAGAAGCTACTGAGATTCTTCAAGGTGTTTTTCTTAAAAATCAGAGTAATTACCCACTTTTATTTTTTTTTATAATAATGGCTTAAAATCACAAGTTAAAAGATTTAAAAGAGTTTAACCTACTGGGAAAAAGAGCTGTAAGGAACACAATGTTGATTGCTGAATGAATTCTGACTGCAAAAGGACAAAAAGAACACAAACTGGATTGGGAGGCATGGAAAACAAGCAAACAAACAAGCAAACCCCACATACTTTAAAGGCAAAAGTTTTAATAGCTTGTGATGACCCAACTTTCTTTAATTCAATAAATATTCAATAAGTGTCTTTCAATGGTCAGGACTGTTCTAAGTGACCTGGAAGATGTTCATTCATTTAAGCATCAACTGAAAAATATCAAATACCTAAACAATAAAGCCCCGAAGTCCCTGTTTTGAAGGACCTCGGGGACTAGTTGAGGAATTATTTATGCAAATATAATAATTCCGTTAAAGATGATAAGCATGTGTTAGTGCCATACTGTTGCCAAAGGAGTGACTGAGAGACCAATACCGAGTGAATAAACTTAGCAATTTACTTAGAAAATTATTTTTTATTTTTTTTTATTTTTAAACATATCTTTATTGATTTCAGAGAGAGGAAAGGAGGGGAAGAGAGATAGAAACATCAATGANAACATCAATGATGAGAGAGTCACTGATCGAGCCCGCAACCCGGGCATGTGCCCTGACCGGGAATCGAACCCCGATCTCCTGGATCCTACGTCGATGCTCAACCACTGAGCCACTCCCGGCTGGGCAGAAAATTATTTAGTTTAAACTAGCAATAACTCTACACCCCTAAAAGGGTACATTCATGACTTAGATTTAAAACCCTGGATGATACAAATTCCTAGTACAGGAAAAAGAAAGTTACTGAGGAGAGGCTTGCAGGGAGACTAAGAGAAGGAGAAGTTCTGTGTCAGAAACTGATGAGTGAAACAAGAACTATGAGCTAAGGATAACATCAAAGAANACA